ACAGAGAAATGAAGTAGTAAATTTATTAAGAAACAAAAAAGAACAATATTTCTTCGAAAAAATAGATATTTACAGAAATAACACTCGATGTGCGGAAAACATTGAAAAAACTTATAAACGTTAATTGCCAAAACTTTCCGAGCTGCATTGAATTTAACTTAGAAAACCAGATTTATGTTGTGCAGAATGAAACGGAAATAGTAAATGAATTTAACCACTACTTCATTACTAGTATTCAGCAAATTGTTGATAGTATTGATAATGTCGATGATTGGAAATTCCATAACTATAATTTATATCCTGATTTTTCTCATTTTCACTCATTAACAATGAATGAATTACGTCTAATTATCAACTCCTTCGATAACAAAAACAGCGTTCATGAGATCTTAAATAACAAAATGATCAAAGTCATTTTTGAAACCTGTGGGCATATAATTTTAAACCTTGTAAATACTTACTCTCCAAACTTCAAGAATTCCCAATTCTCTTAAAATCAGTACTATAGTTCCTATACAAACTCTACTTTAGATTCCCAAGGAAAACTGCCGCCAGACATTCCACCCGTTGAGAATCGAATGCCCGTAATCGTCTTCGGTCAACGCACTATCAGACGAATTTTGCTTGGTCTCAAAACGAATAAGGCTAACGGTCCTGGTGTAATTCCACCCATTATCCTCAAAAAATGTGCACCAGAATTAACACCGATTCTCTGCAAGTTGTTTACCATCTCGTACAGGTCGGGTATTTTTCCATTATGCTGTCTTCCAGCTAGAGTCCAACCAATCCCCAAAAAAGGGAACAAGAACCTGCCCAACAACTACAGGCCCATTGCCCTGTCATCAGTAATCTCCAAAGTGATGGAGAAAGCCATCAATATTGAGCTAATCAAATATCTGGAGAGCTCAGGAATCATCAATGATAGACAATACGGCTTTCGCCACCGAAGATCTACTGGAGATCTATACTTGCCTACGTCACCCATTTATGGCAATCTCCAATAGAAAAACACGAGGAATCTCTAGCTGTCGCGTTGGACATATCGAAAGCATTCGACCGTGTTTGGCACGAAGGACTCCTCCACAAACTACCATCATACGGCTTTCCACCTCAGCTATGCCATCTCTTATCGAGTTTTCTTTCAGGCAGATCGCTTCACGTGGTGGTGGACGGTGTATCGTCTGATACCATTGGTATCAATTCCGGCGTTCCACAAGGATTAATTTTGGCACCAACATTATTCCTGCTTCATAATATCAATGATCTGTTGGGAGTAACAACTTGCCCCATCCACAGCTTTGCAGATGATAGTACCCTCCATACTGCGTTCTCTTCCAGAATTCCCATTCCTTCCCAGGAAACTAAGAACTCACGGCGCAGGCAGGTCAATGCTGTCAATGAAGATCTTGCTGAAATCACAGCCTGGGGAACAAACAACCTAGTTGAATTCAACGCCACCAAAACTCAAGCCTGCATTTTCTCTAGAAAGGCGGAACTCAGTATGCCCGATATTGTAATGTCTGGCTCCACCATCCCCACCAAGCCCACCATATCTATGCTCGATATTTCCATCAGCAACACTCTTTCATGGGATAATCATGTCAGATCCATCGCAAAAGCTGCTTCACAAAAACTCGGATTCTTGTTCCGTGCGAAAAGCTACTTTACACCTCAACAGCTTCTCATGATCTACAAAGCGCAGATACGGCCTGTTCTAGAATACTGTTCCCACATATGGGGTTCAGCACCAAAACATACGCTGACGCTCTTAGATTCCATCCAGAGAAGTGCCATTCGCCTGGTGGGTGACGCCACACTCACTCACTCTTTGACATCATTGGAACACCGTAGAAAGGTCGGCGACCTTTCACTTTTATATCGATTCTTCCACGGGAAATGTTCTTCGGAAATCTCTGCTATCATCCCTTCACTAGCAATACCAATCAGACGAACTAGACAAGCCCAGTCAGCACATCCTTTCGTTGTCAACCTCGAAAGATGTCGAACAGCACTTTATCAAGACTCCTTCATCTATAGAACAGCTAGGCTCTGGAATGCATTGCCTGTGGAAGTATTCCCAACAACATATAATCTCCAAAAGTTCAAAAAAAATTCCAATACCTACCTCCTGTCCCTGTCCTACCTAGGAACGCACGATGTTCTTTGAACATTATAGGGATTCCCTTTCGTGCGCTTCAAGCGATAAAAAAAAAGAAAAGAGAAAAAAAAAAAGTAAACAATACTATCAAGGCCAGTGAATACCGTCCTATAAATACATTACCCACAATAGAAAAAATTCTTGAACTAGCTGTTTACAATCAGGTCTTTGATCATGTTGATAAAAATGAAATTCTAATAAATAATCAATCTGGATTTCGTTAAAAATATTCATGTGAATCTGCATTACAACTCATACTTTATCTAAATGCAAAAAAGAAGTCGATAACAATAAATTTGTGGTAGCGGTTTTTCTTGATATGAAAAGGGCTTTTGAAACGATCGATAGAAATATTCTTCTGATGAAATTGAGAGGATATGGCATTGATGGTAATGTTCATCAATGGTTAGCTGATTATTTGTCCCATAGGAAGCAAAAAGTTAGGGTTCGAGACAATATCTCACAGGTAGGTAGCAGATATAAATTTAGGTGTTCCACAAGGTAGCGTTTTAGGACCTCTGCTTTTTATCTTATACGTGAATGACATTAACTTGTTTGTGAATGTAGATTTTGTGAACTTATTTGCAGATGATACCTTATTGGCATGCTACGATACTAACTTAGATAAAGCTATTGAGAAAATGAATACTGCACTGAAGGAGGTTAACGAATATCTCATGGCAAATAAATTGAAATTGAATACAATGAAAACTAAAGGAATGATTTAATTAACCAAATATAAGTTAAACTCTCTTGATATGAATGGAATAAATCTGCAAATTGATAATGAAAACATTGAACTTGTATCATGTATTAAATATCTTGGATTCCAGTTAGACAATTTATTACTCTTTGGTAACCACTTCGATTATATATGTAAAAAAATATCTGAAAATAGTTATTTGTTTAACTAGGCAGCAAAGTACTACATTGACTGCCGAGGTTTAATTCATAGCCGAGCGTAGCGAGGCTAGGAATTTAGCTAAGGCAGTCAATCTACTTTGCTGCCGAGTTGAACATATAATTTTTTCTCCGATTGTTCATAATGATATAGGAGGATATTGTATTTGCAAATTATTACAATTCCCACAATCTCTTTATTTTTCCTGTAGTGTTCCATTAAAATAAAATTTGATAGAAATCGCAGTTGTTGGAATGGTTGGAATGTATGGAAATGTCCATAATAATTATTATAGTTTGACAATTCATGAAATTTCTGACAGTTGTGCGGAAAAATATTGGTATATTTGAATTATTATATAATGGACAGTGATAGCGGCCTGGAAGTACTTACTCCCCCAGAAATAAGGAAGGTGGCAAAAAATATAGAGTTGAATTTCTTGCCGGAGAACTCTCGGATGAAATATGAAGGAAATTATAAACGATTTATGGATTATCAATTTTGCTGACACATATCAATCAGCAAAGTAACCACTTTACTGCCTAGGCAGGAAAAGTAATACTTTGCTGAATGATATGTGTCAGCAAAATTAATATTAATTGCTGACAATCGGAGAAAAACTATATTTTTTTGCCAAAATTTCTAGAAATTTAACCATTCAGTCTAAAATCACTGTATATAATGCGATAATTCAACCTCATTTTGATTATTGCGCTTCTATTATCTTCCTTTTTAATCTAAAAATCAAACATCACAATTACAGAAACTTCAAAATTGCGGTAGGTGCATTGTTCTGAAAGCAAATAGATTCACGGAAATAGGAGTCATGTTAAAAACTTTGCAGTGGCTATCAGTATCGCTACGATTGTATTACTTAACCATGATATTTATACAGTATGATGCAAATGTATGGAATAATTTCATTTCAAAACAAGATGACTTTCGAAAAAAATCCAAAAACTAGAGTTCAGAACTTTTTTTATTGTGTATTTTTTCAACTAGACGACCCTTCGATGTTCAATTCTCAGTAGCAGACCTCTGCAAGATTCAGTTAACCAAATGATAATCCATTTTAATTGCAATATTCTTATGCAAAATTTTGACTGTTGGATAGACGATCAGTAGACCTTTCAAACGAGGTGTCACATGACCCCTGCTTGTATTTGAAAAAATCGTCCATTACGTCATTACTTCTACACCAGTGACGTAACATCTCTCATATGAATGTCATGAGATGAGGCTTCAAAAATTAAAACTCACGTGTTTTTGGAATTTCTTCAAATGTCGCCCATTTCTGAAATGATGAATTTATTCCATACATTTGCATCATACGTATATAAAATATTCAATAACTTATCACCTTCATATTTTCGTGAATTTATTAATTTGAATTCAGATGTACACAAATATGCCACAAGAAACAATACAAATTTGCATGTATGCAGAACAAACAAAAAAAGTGCCATGAATTCATTGTTTCTTAAAGATTTTGATACATACAATAAATTACCTAACAAAATCAAATCTAGCCCATCAGTAAGTATTTTTAAAAAACAATTATTGGAATCCATCCAGAATATTAGATAGAATATATTTTGTTGAGATAATTTTCAAAATAGAGGATTTGTATGTTGTTTCTATTTACTTAATATTGTATTAGAGCTGTACCTATTTTTCATATGTTTTTGTGTTACAATGTAAATCTTTTAATAACTTATATATGTGTGTGATGAGCACGTGATGAGTTTTCAAACTTGAAATTTAAATGTCAATACATTTTTAAAATTTTTATAATATCTATAGTGTTATTAATATGTCTATTTAGCTTTTTGTGTATAAGGGTCACCTATTTCAAATAAATATTCTTCTCCTTCTTGTATCGATCAGATATATCATTTAATTTGAGAAACTTTCACAAAAATTCATCATAAAACTTTCCAAATGTTGCCAAAGACTGAGGTTAGCTCTCCACTCGATCATATCGTGTGTACTCTGTGAGTTAATTTGATTCAAGTATGGAATTACTGTACTCACTGCTCTATATTTGTGTAATTATGTCGAGAAGTCGGTAGATCGTGAATTATAGGGGAGAAAGTTAATTTGCAGGCATGTTTTCATAAGGAAGTTTTTTCATGGATTACCCTAGCTTTAATGGGGGTTCATTTCCGCTTTCTCCAATCTTCTTACACGAATCCAAAATTTCTCATTAAACTTATCTGGATGTGTTCGTACTTATTATAGTACACGGTGATGAGCTCTGATTCGTTTCATCTTTCATGTAAGGAGAAGCTTAAGAGGCTGCAGTTGAATGAATAAATACATGAAGACAAGTTATTTTCCAGTTAACACTACACAGGGAGAAAAGGCGATTGCATATCTATTCACAACTTTGTGTGAAAGATGTTTGTGAAGTATTATTTGACATTTCTTCAAATCACTACAGTCGTTTCGTGAAAAAGAAACAAATGTTTGTGTATAACAATTTGTGAAATATTTGTAAATATCCATGTAACGGAAAACTACACAAAAAATTGCTCATCATCCAATGCACACAATTGTATTGGCGTATTGGCTATAAATACACCGCTTTCGAAATAATCACACTATTTTTGCACGCGGTCCTCAATTTGTACAAATCCATAATAATAATAATAATAATGATAATAAACTTCTTTATTTTGAGAAATAATAACAATACATTGCATGTAGAGCAACCATTGAACAAAATAGGGTCACTCTCGAAAACAATTACTTACATACCATGAAATTCTTCCATTGTATAAGGTTCCAAGCTTATTAACAAATTGTATACTTTTTTTTTATATGCAGTGAGATTATTGATGACTCTAATATGTTCTGGCAATTTGTTGAAACATTTGATAGAAGAATACAGTGCCCCATTTTTAGTTACACTCATCAGTCTATGTTTTGGATACTGCAGATTTACATGTCCAGTTGGGTATAGGCCTCTTGCTTCAAATCGTGTGAACAATTGCCAATGTCTGAACAAAAATAACAGACATTCTTGAATGTATCAAAGCATATCAAACTATATCGTATTCTTGATTCAAAATTTGAGTGATACACAATTTTCAGTGTTTGAAAGTTTGCATATTTCTTAATAACCTTGAGTGAATAACAGATTTGACTGAGTTTCCTTACAGAGTTGCTCCACATGGATGTCCCAGCATAAAAAACCATCTATATAGACTCCCAAGAACTTGGAGTGTTTACTAACTATAAAGTTCTTATTACCTGAACTAACATTAGAAGGCATGTCAGTGCGAGCATAGTTTGTTTCTAAAAGTACGAGATTCGTTTTATTTTCATTGAGAACCAGTTTATTTCGTAAGAACCAAGATTCAGCTCTTTCAAAGTCTAATTCTGCTTCGGCAATCAGACTGATCATATCCGGCGCCTTGACAAGCAAATTTGTGTCGTCAGCATAATTAATCAACTTACAATTTCCGTTAAGCTTCATGAAGTTATTTGAATCATTTACGTAAACTATAAAAAGCAGTGGTCCCGTAATGCTGCCTTGTGGCCCAAGTAGCACACATATATTGGGACAATATCGGTGCAATATTACGAAAATATTGGCGAAATATTGTGAAAGTAATATTGGCGAGAAAAAAATGTGAACATTCGGCGATATTGGTACAATATCAGTTAGCAAATGTGGGTAGAATATTCTCATATCAATATTGGTTGAATATTCGTAGAGTTATATCGGACACAAAATGTAATATCAATATTGGCGAGAAATTAATGGTGAACATTCGGCAATATTGGTGTAATATATGGAAATATCGGTGAATCATTGAAAATCATCATGAAGGTATGTTGTCTCAGAAATATTGGTAGAATATTCTCATACCAATATTGCTGGAATATTCGTGAAGTTATATTGGTCACAAAATGTGATATCAATATTGCTGATAAATGGAAAGTGAACATTTGACAATACTGGTGCAATATTGGTTGGAAATATTGGTGCATTATTGAAAATCATTATGTAGCTATGTTGTCTTCAAAATATTGGTGGAATATTTTCATACCAATATTCGCGAGTTATTCGCATCAGGAATAATCACAAAGGTCAGCCCAGCCGGAGTGCAATGGGAGGGCCTTGCCCTGCGGAAGCCGCCTTGTTGATCACGGTTAACCCCATGTTAACCCCTACTCCAGGTTATAATACTTTACAATCGTCTAGAGCCAATATTTATATTCTCTCGTCTGATCGGCAATGGGAGTATGTTACCAATCATTTATAGCGCCATCTATCGACATCGGTTTGGGAGCACGTAATATGGAATAAATATCGAAATTTCGATATCGATATGTATTCTCAAAACAATATGTGAACAATATTGCTCACATGATATAGTGAATCACATATCAGCCAATATAAGATGATATTATTTTCTGAATATGGCTAGAAAACTATTCACCCGATATGCAATTGAACTTGAAAATACAATATTGTTTTTCTCTTCTATGTCCGATATAAGATATATATTGAATGGAGAATGTTCAAATTGCGATATTGGTTATGATTGTTGAAAACAATATGTATACGATATTTTCCGCATGATATCAATCAATATAGGTAAATTCGATGTTCCAAATATTGTTGAAACAATATTCATCCAATTTGCCGTCGAATCCAATTACACAATATTGTATATCCGCTTCAGAATCGACATGGGGAGAATGTTTGAATTGCGATATTGGTTATAGTTGTTGGAAACAATATGTGTGCGATATCTTCCGCATGATATGGATAGAATGATATTAATCAAGATAGGTGAATATGATGTTTCGAATATTGTTGAAACAATATTCAACCAATATGCCGTCGAACTCAAATATACAATATTGCACAACAGCTTCAGAATCAACATGGAGACAATATTCAAATCGCGATATTGGTTATAAATGTAAGAAGCAAATTGTATACGATATCTTCCGCATGATATAGATAAAATGATATCAATCAAGATGGGTGAATATAATGTTTCAAATATTGTTAAAACAATATCCAACCGATATGCCGTTTAACTGGAATATACAATATTGCATAACCGCTTCAGAATCGACATGGGGAGAATGTTCAAATTGCAATATTGGTTGTAAATGTCGGGAACAATATGTATACGATGTTGTTGTATAAACATTCGTAAAACAATATTATACAACATTCATAGATATGTTTTTCAACACATTGTTAACGAATTTTACAACCAATATTGCTCCAATATTGTAGCTGACAATCCATATTCAGCTCAGGTTAAACCAATATTCCACCAATATTATCATTCCAATATTGTTTGTCCAATATACTCTCATATTGGACCAATATCATTCTTCACATGTACGATATATCTATATCGGCCCAATATGGAATCGGGTTCCAGCCAATATGATGTGCTACCTGGGGGAATACCGATGTTTCTTATTTTTTCGGAAGATTTTCCCTCAGCTCCATCTTTTGTGATCTTCACCATTTGTTTTCTATCCTTTAAGTATGATCTAAACCATCTTAGTGCTGGTCCCCTTATTCCGCAGTCTTCCAGCTTATTTAACAATATCTCATGATTCAAGCAATCATATGCCTTGGAAAAATTTAAAAATAAGCCTATTGCTGATGTATCATCCTCCAAAGAGTCTATTATATGCTGTATGAAGTGAAAAATTATAGCGGAGAATTACACAAAAATATGCACATCAAGGTTACGAGTGTGTAGTGAGAATGTAGAATCTTCCCCTTTATTATTGTCTGGCGAGTTGATGAATGATTGATGATTGTACTCAATGATCATAGGTAGTCCTTCCGCAAAAACTATTTCATGTTTACTAGTGCTACAAAGTGGAAGATGTAATAAGATGTATCAACAAAGTGTCGAAGATATTTTTCTTTGTTGGGAACTGCTTCAGAAACCTGAATAAATACAACTTTGTTAGGGATTGGGTACAATTATTATCATTCTTGGGTGTTTAAAAATGAGGGGCATTATGCATGTACGATTTCTGTCTGCGAGAAATGGTAATTTCTTAGGAAGTTCTGAGACTTCATTCTTTATTTTCATTACAATCATTTTCCGGAAGAAAAAGAAACATTTTCAAAAAAAATCAACTCAATAGTTTGATGAAATTCAATGACTCTGATGTGAATGGATATCAGATACTCCAGGGACACGAATAGGATAACCTAGGGATGTACCGGGCGGGATGTCCACTGGACAACCACGGCAGGATATCTCCTGGATGTCCCAATCATGTCCTTGTACCGCGAGACAAAAAAAGGACGTACCTAGGAAATCCCTGATGTGTTGTTAGGGTACTCATGTGTTTGTGAAGAAGAAGAATTGACAACTCGATTTTCGAGATGACAAGGTAGTTCTCAGCGAATCTCACGCCGGAAATTTTCTGTATTGCTTCCGCATGGACTATTTGTAGGACCCTGTCTCTTTTGTGTCCCGTCTCTAGATGCTTATTTTCGGGTAGCATTCTAGTATCTATCGAATTTGTGCCATTACAACGCCTTGCGATGCTCAGCATATATTGTGGTTTCAAACATTTAATGTGTATATGCTCATTATCAAAAGCTTGTTAACGTCCTTGATATGAAATGAATTGATTTCAGTGTCCCTATTCTCTAGGAATTTGAAGCCAAATATGATAACAGGTAAAACTTACAAAATTATAGTAACCTGGCAGCAGTGCTGAAGTGTGTTTGCCGAGGCGACTGCTAACCATAACCTTCACATTGAGTTCATTTCTGCTAACTAAGCCGGCTGCAGCATTGCCGCATCAGACCAGATCATCTTAAACCTTGGTGAGTGTAATCACACAATTTTCGAAAATGTTGGACTGCTTCTTCATTTATTGTTTTATTATGACACGTGGAACACCCCATTTCAAGGATCGCTCCAATTCTAGAAACACTCTGTATGTATAGCTCTGGAATATCTTGTAATGATTTTTTGGGATTTTGTTTTCCTCAATTCCTTTCATAAAAAATTATTGAAAACGCCAAAATAAACAAGCGAATTCAAACTATCAAACATGGCTGCGAAACCTGTGACATCACTGCACGATCAATTTGGATCGGTAATAATGCACTCACCTTGTCGCAGGTACCGTGTCAATAAAATGCACAATGGACTTGACAATGATGCCAATTCAAACAGAAAACTACGATTAGTTAGATAACTCAATGATGAAAAATGGCATTGCATAATTAATTAGATGGGTACGCACCCATACATACAAAAATGAGTACAAAGCTTCTGGAGGTGGAAGTACATTGAAAAATAGGTAAAGTTTGATGAATGAACTGAAGGCCCAAAATGTATGATGAGGAAGATGTATCCTTCCCAATTCGATCAAATTGAAATAATTTTTCCCGCATAACGTCTATACGGAAAAACCACCAGATTGATATATTTCCTGCATAGATGTAAGTTGATAAGATACATCTTTCTGGTACACTTTCACATTTTTGAAATTTCCATAAAGGGTGTTCAAAGTGGGTGGGTCATGATTTTTTGTAGATAACTTTTTTTCTCGTATTCTTTTTGGTAAAATAATATAACTATTTGATAGAGCCAAAAAATTATATAAGGAAGGTATTCTTATCGAAAAACAAAGACTGTAACCGTTTTCGAGATCTTTGAGTTTTTGTATTAGTGACATGATATGAGCAGATAAATTCATAAGTAATAATATTTCAGGTGGCATAGAACTTTTTGGCTGGACACCATCTCTGTTTCTCGTTTTAAAACATTTCTCTCCTCGCAATCTTTGCACGATACTCAAAATTGTTCTAAAATTTGAAACGCGTTGAGCAGTAAACGAATAACCAAACCAGTAATTTTCCACAATCCAACTCAAAAATCGCATGAATAAAACTACTGAACAAGGAAATCGACAATAACAATGATCATGGCCTCCCAAAATATGGTTACCGATTAATTAATCTGATGCATGATATCCACAAATATCTCGTAAACGGTTATAATTTTTGTATTTCGATAAGATCACCGTTGTCATGTTATTTTTTTCGCTATGTCAAATCTTTTCACCAAAGAGAATACGAGGAAGAAGTTGTCTTCAAAAAATCATGACCCACCCATTCAAAACAGCCCTTTATAGCAATATCACAAATGTAGAAGTGTATAAAAAAAAATTCCATCAACAGACCTTCATGCAAGAAATCCTAATTTCGTGACTTTCACCGTAGCACAGATCAGGACAGTTTTAGAATAATGTTCTCATGTATGGGGTTCAGCACCTAAACATACGCTGATGCTTTCAGATTTCATCTAGAGAAGAGCCATTCGCCTAATGGGTGATGCCACACTCACCAATCCTTTGACCCCTTCAGAAAAACGTAGAAGAGTCGACGACCTTTCACTTTTCTATAGATACTTCCACGGGAAATATTTGTCAGGAATCCCTGTCGGACGAACTAGACAGGCCCAGTCAGCACATTTCTTCGTTGTCAACCTTGAAAAATGTCGAACAACACTCTAGCAATACTCGTTTGTCTTTAGAACGGCAAAGCTATGGAATTATTCGCCAGCAGAAGTATTTCCAAGAACTTATAACCTCCAAAAGTTCGAAAAAAATCCAACACCTACTTCATCTGCCTGTCCTCCTTAGGCGCGATGTACCACGAATATAATGGGAATTTCCTTTCGTGCGCTCCAAGAGATTGAGAAAAATACCTTCATACTCTCATCGGGAGGATAGCAATTTCCAATAGAAAATTCACTTCACAATACTTAACAGCGAATTAACAGAAAGAGAGATCGATCAAGATAGTCACAAGAGAGTACTACAGAGAGATCTGTCTCAGCTGGTTCTGCGAGCAGTCATACTGCACAGGAACCTTGATAAAAATGGGACAAAGAAAGCAGAATCCTCGATTCTGATTGGTTGAACTTCTCAACCTTGTCATAGCCATTAGCCACAGAAAACTGCTAGATTTGGCCTCGAAAGCATAATGTCTACTTTGAATTCACGAAAACATGGAAAAATGCACTTTCACCCCCAGATGAGCATAGTAGAGGAGTCTACTACCTCTGATTATGCTACTAAATGGATTTAACCGAAAATTTTTCAAAACCAAGAATGTTATGATCGGGCAAACATCCATAATCCAGTATCGTAAAATTCGACACTCTTCTGCTGTAATGATATGAAGGAAAGCCAGAGACGTTATTCTGGCCACATATTTATCGAGAAAATCAAACAACGAATGGATTATTCCATATTGAAAAACGCGACTGAGTTGTGATTTCAGTATCTTCTTGTAATTTGATTTGTTGGAGTTTGTGACAACTGAGAAACACGCCGCTGTTGCCAGGTGTTTATGAAATTCTTGAATTAGTCTTTTTTGTGCACTTGATTGGTTTTTCACTGCTGATCACATTCAATTCATACTCTGAACTCCGAAATATTCCATTAGTTTCAAGATTAGCTGTAGGATGAAATGTGATGCAGGCATCTAACAGTAAGACGCTTTTCGTATGGTTTCGTTTGAGTTATGAATTTATGATTCTGTTGACTTATTGTTAAAATCAACAAACTATGTTCCTACATCTCAAGTGGGTACTTATTCCCGGAAAATGTAATCGATAATGTGGGAACTATGTTCACAAGAGGAAGAGATGAACAGGGCCGTTCCTACCCGGGGGTGCGAGTGTTGCGAGGAACCAGGGCGGCAAGGTAAGAAGGGCGGCGACGGCGATATTCCATATCACAGCCGCCTTGTATTTACAATGCCGCCCCACCACTGTATTTGGTCCGATCACCGATGTGTCCGATGTGCGAATTCTCAGGCTACCAATACAGAACAGAACGTTTGGAAAAACAGGAACGCCTGAAAAGTCTGACTTCGAGCTGACTTCAGATATTTCAAAATTTTTTCGACCTCGCAGTAGTCGCGATGGAGAAGGGTCTTCATCTTACTCTCAGTCTCAGCCCGATCCTACCTCGGAAGATGCGGACATAATCATTGCTGTCGAAGACGGAGATAGAGGTCGAGCTGAAGAAATGTCGGAAACGACGGAAACTGTGGAGTTTGTTGCGACTGCGTCTGTACAAGAAAATAGTGTCGAAGACCACCATGATGATTGTGCTATTGACCTTCAAAAAATGTTTGATCTTGCAAAGTGGCCAAATATCATTAGCGATAATTTGAAAATATTAATCGTGAAGAAAGTTCCTTGTCAAGTTAGGAATGTAATTTTTCCTGAAGACCACGGGAGGGCCTTTTCAGAGAATTATTACGTCAAGAGATTGCATAACGGTGGAGTCTGTACTGTATAAAAACTCGGAGCTACAAATTTTTATGCGCTCTTAATATTTGGTACGACATTTTATCGAATGTCAATGTTGTCAGTAAGATTTTGCAAGGCGTTAATGTTAACTTACACGTTGCAGTAGAGCATTTAAATTAACTGAAACAAATAATATCAACCTTTCGAACAGATGAACATTTTACGGTATCCTTATATGAAGCACCTGGGTTAGCCAAATGTCTTCGGATTGAAAATCAATTTCTTCTAGAAAGCCAGGTGAGGAGAAGAAAACAAGAAAAGACAATTTGATAATGAAGGCGATGATGAGAGTATCAGCAGTCCGGAAAATAGCTTCAAGGTGATTTTTTTTGCAGTACTAGACACTGCTTCAAATGCTTTAGTGGAGGAGTTTGAACAGTTTCAGGCTTATAGAAATATTTTCATACATTTGAGCGATTCTCGGAATTTGACAAAAATGACAAAAGATGATTTGAAAATATTCTGCTGTGAGTAAGAGCAGAAATTATCTGATGATTATGATAACTGTAAAAAAGATGTCAGAGGACTTGACCTTTCCAATGGAATTGAAATTATTACCAATTTTATTAATGTCTCAGAAGTATATTCACCTGAAAGTGTTCTAGAATATATTTAAATAAACGTTCTACAGAGTGTTTTTCCTAATTTAACCATAGTATTGAGAATTATGTTAACTCTGCCTGTCACCGTAGCAAGTGGAGAGCGCTCATTCTCAAAGTTGATAAAAAACTACTTACGCACAACTATGTCCCAAGAGCGATTAAATAATTTAGCAATCATTTCTATAGAAAATGAGATATGTGAGTAATTCAATGTTAATGATGTTGTCACAGATTTTGCAAATGCCAAAGCGCGAAAAGTCGATTTCTACTAATTATATTATGGCTTTTTATCCTTTAGATTACATTTATGTTGATATAAAAGTATGTATTATAAAATTGCGTTGCTATATCATTGAGTTTTTTATCTTAGCGTCACTATAGGATGGTGGTATTGTAAATGTTCCAAAAACATAATAAAATTACGGATATGAATTTTTTGTTTCCACAAAGGGCGGCAATTTCTCGTTTGCACCAGGGCGCACACTACCACAGGAACGGCCCTGGAGATGAAGCAGCTAGCGCTAATACATTGTTGCCAAGTTAAAATACTTCATTCTCCGCATACTCAACTTCACTGTTTTCATTTCTCCATATTATTGACAAGAATGAAGTTTTGCAATGTATCATTGTTCTGATACAGAATTTGTTCCTTTTCCCTTGGTAGGTGAGTATTGGTAGGAACATAATATACAGGGTGAGTCAAAAATGTGTACCGAGCTCTCTGAAGGTGATTTTACATTGAAAACAGTATACTTTGATGAATGAACTAATATTCCAAAATGTATATCAAGGGAGATATATCCTTCCCGGGTTGAAAAAGTTGAGATAATTTCTCCGCATAACTCCTAAGCGGTGAAAGTCACGAAATTGAGATTTCTTGCATCTACATTTCTGATATTATTGCTATGAAGGGCTGTTTTTAAGAGGTGGGTCATGATTTTATGAAGACAACTTTTTACTCTTATTCTTTTTGCTGAAAAAATAAAAGCATCTGATAAACCGAAGAAAATTACATGAAAACGGTCCTCTAATCGAAATACAAAAATTGTATCCGTTTGCGAGATATTTGTGTTCTTGTAGTCAGTGGATATCATGCAGCAGATTAATTCATCGGTAACCATATTTTAGGAAGCCATGATCAATTTTGTTCTTGATGTCGACATTCATGACATGAACATTAATATTGATGATTTTCTTGTTCAGTTTCTTTGCATAGTAATATTATTTCTGCGATTTTCAACTGAGATTTTGAAAAGTTACTGGTTATTTGTTTCCCGCTCGATGCGTTCCAAATTTTAGAACAATTTTGTGTATTGTGCTGAGATTGCGAGAAGAGGAATGTTCTGAAATGAGAAATAGAGATGATGTCCAGCAAAAAAGTTTTAAGCCTCCTGAAATATTATTACCAATGAATTTATCTGCTGATATCATGTCACCACAAAAACTCAAAGATCTCGAAAATGGTTACAGTCTTTGTTTTTCGATAAGTATACCTTCCTTATATAATTTTCTGGCTCTATCAAATGGTTATATTATTTCATCAAAAAGAATACGAGAAAAGAAGTTATCTACAAAAAATCATGACGCAGCCACTTTGAACACCCTTTATGAAGATTTCAGAAATGTGAAAATGTACCAGAAAAATGTATCTTATCAACTTACATCTATGCAGGAAATATATCAATCACAATATATGCTGAGCATCGCAAGGCGTTGTAATGGCACAAATTTGATAGATACTACGATGCTACCCGAAAATAAGCATCTAGAGACAGGACACAAAAGAGACAGGGACCTACAAATAATCCATGCGGAAGCAATACAAAAAATTTCCGGCGTGAGATTCGCTTAGAACTACCTTGTCATCTCGAGAATCGAGTTGTCAATTCATTCTCGTAAAATTTTTGGGTTTTCGATATCCACAAACACATAAGTACATTAAAATATTTAAGTCACGTATCCCAGCAAACATTGAATTAGCTGGAGAAGTCCGGCCTAGTGAAGGCTAGTCTGGGAAAGTGACGATGCCGGGGTATTGGTAATGGGCCGATGATTTTCCTATGCTAAGTAACCATCAGTTAAAAATACGATGATGGCCTTGTGATGGTAAGATGTTTGGAAATAATTGAATGCTTACGAGATATGGCCCTTTGCTGGCCAATTTCATGTTTGCTACTCGTCCCCCTGGTGGAAGTTCTGGGAACGTATACATCAACAATCAGCTGATCAATATTAAATGTGACTAAGATGGCTGACAGTCGTGAGTGGTGATCGCGTACTAGTTTGTTTATGTCGATGAATTATTGTGCTCCGCTCTTTACCTGGTTGTTATTTATGATGGCAGGAGTATTCTCAATTGATGATGATAGAAGACAGATTCTTCAATTATGATAATATTGTGTAAGTATCAATCTACCTACATAGTGTTTCGAATTTCATTATTGAATGCATGTGTTTGGTATCTCGTAACCTCATATACCTAATGATCATAATAATTGGAGTGGGCTATACTTCTCCAAAAGCAACTATCATTTTTAACTCGTTTGTTGCTATCAAAAGCAATTTGAGGTCATGTGAACCTATACATGTCTATATTAAAAAACTAAATAACAATAAGGTTTCAGCTACAGAAATACCTGTGCCAAGAAAATAATGAGAATTGAAAAGCTCCATGTTATCACGTCATCAGACTATATTATCAAGATATAAACTCAATAGGCCACTTATTCAAACAAATGATGCATTCTATATTTCAGAAGTACCTCACAACGAAGAATCGACTTTGAAGGAATGCTACCCAATAAGATGTAGATACCACATACCAACCAGTAAGCAGTCACTCCGAGGAGTTTTATCGTTGAAGAACAGGGAGGTTAAGAAGATATCATTGTGTCATTCATAAAATTGTTATCTTGATATCTGGTTTGATGAGAGGGTTATATTGTAGAATAAAGAGTTACTAGAACTCTCAGATTCATTGGACCCCTAAAACCCCTACCTCTCCCCTACCTGGATAGTGTGTATCCAAGTCGACAATAGGCCATTACAGTCCCATCATTTATGTATATGCTGGGCTTGCTATAGGAAACTCGATGTGTCGATTATGTTGTACTGGCCTTTTGTCGGGGAACTGAATATGTTTGCTGGGACCAGCTGCCGGCCGCAGTGTACTGATATATAGAGTCCCGCATATGGGACCATTTACTGGGCCGCTGATGTCCGGTATGAGAAAAATTTATTAGGCCATTGATGCCCCACATCAAAATGTTTGCTGGGATGCCTGAGACAATTTCAAGAAAAAAGTCTACATAAACTTGTGTCCGGAACTGCTCTGTTTCGGAAATACAGGGTCTTGAAATCATTTTTTTTTTTTTTTCGTTATTTGAAACTAATTTTCGCAAAGAATAAGTTATTTGCACGAAATTTGGAACCGCTTTTTCTAAATCAGAAATCATATTATCGTATTCATTTTCATGTTACATCTAGAGGACGCTGCATATGCTGTCATTATTTATTTCAAATTGTCCGAACATTTTTGACAGTGAACTTTTACTTCATGAGAAAATCTTATTTCTACACCACACACTGATATTGACTTCAAAACAATTCTTCGCAGTATAATATCCCTAATAACACAATCACATCTGTAAGACATCGTAGAAAACATCCATATGGGACGATAGGAACATCTCTGGAAAATCCCTATTTTCCTTGGGACATTCTTGGGATGTTGCCGGCAACACCCGTGTCAGCATTTGCGATGTCTTATAAACATCCCATCAGAATGTTTGTGGGATGATACGGGATGTACCAGAGACATTCAGGGTACTTGATATGGAACATCTTAAATAGACTTCTAGGATGTTTTTTGTTTGATGACAGTAATGGATGACACGGTATGCATTATTTTCAATCTGATATACTGAAAATGGCAGACCTATTTCCAGATATGAGGTAACAATCCGAGTCCGAATATATAAGGTCGGTGCGGTCCAATGACTAATGGAAGATGATAACAGTTGTTTGAGGCTCATATTTGTTGACGCTGGGCCGACGGCTGTTAGTAACTCTTAGCAACGTAGTTGTACCGCCATCTATCGGCTGGTATAACAAATAAATTCAGCAATAAATATGCTGAAGAGATATATTTCAATTTTGTCGTTTATTACATGGGTCATGAAGTTGAGCAGGTACTTTCGTAATCTTATTGAGGTATATTTAGTATAATTATTTCAATTTGTTATCGATGAGATTAGCCGGCGTTGGTATAGGTATAAGTATATGAGTACGAATACAGTTTTGATTTCCATTTTCTACCAACTTTTCAATGTTTCAAATGTCACAATTGTTTGGCCTGTTCAATCATGTCAATCATCATTAGCAATTA